GACTTGAACTGGTGCTCTGATATGAGAATCCAGCATTGCAAGTGTTGGCTTAACCAACTGCACCACAACACTGGCCCCTCATAAATTATCTAAAGATGAGTTAAAGTGGAGGGGAGGATGTGCATAGCTTACACACAAGTACTATACCATTTTGTAAAAGGTACTTGGGCGTTCTCAGAGTTTCGTATCCTCAGGAGGTTCTGGAAACAATCTCCCATGGATACCAAGGTATGAATACATGTGGCTCCTGCTTCCATCTCTGACCACATCTCCTAGCATCCCCTCTCGTTCTATTCCAGCCACCCTGGCACTTCCGATCAGTAAGTTTCCTCATAGCATTCAAATACAGACACCACCTCCACAGAGAGACTAGCTCTGATCACCCTATTATGTCACCTCCCTTCCTGCACTACACTAGCTACTCTATATTGTTATCTCCATTTTCCTCATTAGCATTTGCCATACTCCAAAGTCACCTTGTAAATACATTGTCTCTCTCACTGTGGCAAATGCTACTGGTTATCTCCCCAAATGCCATTCATCCTCTTTCATTGCTAGAGAGTTTGTGGTTGGTCTGCTACGTACCCAGCCCCAAGGCATGATTGGATCGAGTTATTGAGGGCAGTTGGACTGAGTGTATGGTTAGGTTCTGGTCAGTGGAATTAAGAGGAAGCCTTCAAGTTTTCTAGAAAGATCTTTCTCCTGATTGAGGAAGCACACAAACAATAAATTCTCTCCTTGCCTCTTGACTTCTAAATTTCAGTGTGTTTCTAGAGTTCCACCAGCTATCTTGTGTCTACAAGTTGACCTGCTGGAAGAGAACAGAAGCCAATAATGCTGATTATGATAGAAGTGGAATGAGCATGGGTTTTTGTTCATTTGCTTTTTAATCTTTGACAAATGAGTTTTCATATATAGCTATTTGTTTATTTAAAAGGCAGAGAGAGAGAAAGAGAGAGAGAGAGAGAGAGAGAGAGAGAGAACCTATCTACTGTTTTACTCTCTAAATGTTCACAGCAGTTGGAGTTGGGTGAGGCTGAAGCTAGAGCTGGGATTTCTCTCCAGGTCTCCCACATGGGTAGCAGGAGCCCACATACTTGAGCTTTCACCTGCTGCCTCCCAGGGTACGCATTAATAAAAAGTTGGAATCAGAAGCAGAGCCAGGATTTGCACCCAGGCACTCCAATATGGGATGTTGGTACCCCAAGCTGCATCTTAACCTCTATACCAAATGCCTGCCCTGGGCTTGGGTTTTTGATGATACCATGGAGCCACTGTGCCAGTCCTAGAACCTATACCCACTTCTTGACTGAGTACCATGAATTTCCTTATGTTTTAGGCCATTAATACTTAAGGCTTTCATTATTTGCTTTTAATGTGTCCTCACTGACACTCTTTGCCACCATAACCATTGGAACTGTGTCCTATCTGACACTGGAGCCCCTGAGATGACAATGACAAAGAAAAAGAGAGAGAGAGAGAGAGAGAGAGAGAGAGAGAGAACTCTTCTACTCACTGGTTCATTCCCCCAAATGCCCACAATAGACAGCTAGGGTTGGCAATCCAAAGCCCAAAACTCCATCCAGGTTTCCCATGTGGGTAGTAGGCCCCCAAGCACTTGAGACATCACCTGTTGCTTCTTACAGTCTGCATAAGTAGGAAGCTGGACAGGAAGTCGCAAGGTGGAACTTGAACTGACAATCCATTATGGCATGCAGGCTATGCCACAATGCCCGCCTTAACAATAATTTTTAAATGGATATTTTCATAAAAGAATATTTGCTGGATGAATGCAAGGGTGAATGAAAGTACCTGTTTGCACCCCATGTCATGCTATTTATCTTTATTCCTCTGTCTCAGTTTTCCTTTTCCACTTATATCACCTCCCCCTTTGTTTCAGACTGACTTTCCACTCCTTTCCTTTTAACACCATCTAGCCCCAGATCCCTAGCCTGGCACCATTCTGCTCACCTCATTCTCCTGGTTTATTGTAGCATAAATTTAGGCCCAGCCCAAGTTCACTTTTGTCATCTGGTTCCTACTCTGAGCCTTCAAAGTGCAGACCCTGGTGGAGTTCCCTGGGGTGTACCACCTCCTGTCCTGTACCCTCTTCTTTTCTTGTGGCCCTCATCACATGTTACCTTCCAGTCTCTTCATAAGCAAACATTTATCTCTTCCCTCCAGGATCCTAAACAGCTGAAGAACTGGATCCATGGCCTCCTTTTATTTGTCTCCTTTACAAAGAACAGAGCCTTACTATCAAGGTGCTGCTCAGGCATTTCTGTTGACGGTGGGCAGCAGTGTACAGTAGTTAAGCTACTGAATACTTGGCCTTTGGACACTGGAAAGCCAAGTTGATGTCTGCCATTTGCTTGCTGCGTCAATCACAAGCAAGTCACCTAATCTATCAGAGCCTTAGCTTTTTTGCTTGTGAAATAGAGGCAATAATAATATCTACCTTATAGGGTTGTTGTGTATCTCTCTGAGAGAGAGAGAATGCCTATAGGTTATTCAGCATAGAGCCCAGCAGAGAGTAAACACCCATTACCTGATTGCTATTATTATTAACAGGTATCTTTGAATGAATGAATATTATCATATTCATGAGAACAATAAAAGGTAATTTGGAAAATTGTTCAGGTCAAGACCCCTCGTTGCCAACCTCAAAACCTGGTTCGGGCTAATTAAAGTGGAAAGGAGTTTATTGGTAGGGTCTAAGCAGAGGTGTGGATTGGGTGCAGTTCAGAGATCCAGTCTTATAAAATGATGGCCAAACCAGGTGCAACTAAAAAGAGCAGACCAGACTGCTAAGGATGTCATCGTGGGGGCCGTGTGTCCCCAGAACACCCACTGTCACATGGCTGAGCTCTGTTGTTCCCAACAGTGGCTGTTGCAGCCTCCAGGTTGTTAATAACAGTGTGACCACAGGGACTGACTTCTGATGTCTGCATGCTTTTGGTCGTTCCTCCTAGATGCCTCATCTGGTGAGCCAGGAGGGGTCACACCTGGCTTCTCCAGCTGCCCTGAGGAGAGGGGGTAGAATCACCTACTCCTTCAGGTTCTGCAGCCAGGAAGCCTTGGGGATACCCATTCCCTTAGGGGTGTTTGGATGCTGAGCCACCCTGCAAATGTCCACTAGGGCTACCCAGACAGAGACCTGTAGCCTGGAAATAGGACCAGAGAAATAAAAGACAACTGATCAGATGTGGTCCCTGGAAGGATTTTCCAGGCAGCTGATAGATGTGGCCTTCTGCAAACTCTTTGCATCCTGCGTGCAGGGGAAATAACAGCAGGGGTATTCTCAGCCCTTTTTGCAGGGATGGCAATTTCAAAGAACCCCTTCTTTCTCCACAACGTTAATGAGTTAACGAGGGCTCGCAAAGGAACCAAACGGGGGCACAAGGCATGGTGATGCGATGAAAAGAGGTGCTGTCGCCAGATACCTATTGACCGGCTTAGAAACAGGTCCCCGGGAGCCCCGGGGGCGGAGGCAAAGCATCTCTCCTGAAAGGGGGAGCAGATGGTATTGCTCGCCACCCCTGACAGAATAACGGCTGGAGGAAGCAGTGGGGCTCCATGTGGGAGAGAGCCTGTCTCCTGCGGCCAAGCAGTCAATGTGTTTGCAATCTGCACACTTTCGGTGCGGCTCTTTCAGGAGGGCAGATTGCAGAAGGCTGGAAAATTCCGCCCAGGAAGAACCGCACCTTTTCGTGTTGCTTCAGAGCAGATAGGGTCGCCCTGAGAACCCGAAGGCCAAAGATGGCAGGGCGGAGTGTGCAGCACACGCTGGGAAAACCAGAGATTATTTCTTCGGGGAAATGAAAAGGTGGGAGGATGTGAAGCTCTGATATTTGAAAATCTTGGTGGCCAAAGAGCTTACTCTCCCTCCCAATCTGACCCACCAAATTGAGCCAGAAAACGTATTCCTGACTGTTTCCATGGCTCTTACTCAGCTCCAAGTCATTTCCCCTCCAGATCATTTCCATTTTTAAGGCCCAATTTCCATTTGCTTTTTTGATCTTCTGCTTCTAAGACATTGAGCCAATATCATCACCAGCCAAGTGCCAGGTTTTCTTTCAAGGCTTTGAACTGGTCATTTATCCTTTCTCCTCCAAGGTGGATTCTGTGTGAGACTGGAGGCTGGCCCAAGGTAGACAGAGTTCCCCAGGTGGAGCAAAAGAAAGGGGGGGGGGGGCTTCTTATTCCAGGGTGGGGGTAAAACTGAAAATCCCAAGATAAACATCAGTGACTGCTTGGAGAAACAGTGTCGTGAGAAATTAAGAATGTGATTATCAGTTTATCAATGAATAATACATGGCCCTCTACCGTGGAACAGGACAGTTTCAGCATCCGCAATGATAAGGGGCTCCCATGAGAGATGTCTTCTTAAGTTTTATGATCTATTTCATCTTGTGTGAAATGTCTTTTTTTAAATATATATATATATATATTCAGTTGAATTCTTCCTCAGCATTAGTAAAACAAAGTATTCTTGGGGCTGAATCTATTTGACATAAAAAAATTACAAGGTGGCTCTTTGTATTTTCCACAAAAATTGCTGACAGTTTTCTGTCTTAATTTTAAGCTTTCTAAGGGCATGATGTATGAAATATTTCCCTTGGCAGTCTCACAGCCCCTAACAGCGCTGTTCCGCTGCAGGTACTTAACCCCCACACAGAGTTACCTTTGTCACTCTTTTATAAGTCGTGGCCGTGGGCAGTTGGCCTTACCTGGTAGCGTCACCCTCCTCGAGCTCAAAAAAGTCACCGGGTCCACCTTTTCATTGTTTCGAAATCGCATCTAAAGTTTGATTCTAAATGATGCAGACGAAGGCGCTTATTAAAGTGCCATTGTGCGTTTCCTCCTGTCTCTGCTGCTCAAAGCCATTTAATGGATGAACAACTCGGGGGTGGGGGGCTGGGGGGGGGGAGGACTCTCACCACCCACACACGTCGTGCTCAAACAGGGCAGCGTTTCACCGTTGCTTCCACAGCGTCGCCTGAGGAAGATTTCTGATGCCCATCTCTCTCCCCTCTCACTGAGAATTTCAACTTCATCCCAGGCAGCTGCTGAATCGTTAAAGAGCATAGCGCTCTGGCTTTCTCTTTGCAAAAACTATGCATCTCTATTGCGGACTGGTACCTCTTAATGGCAGCCACATGCTTGCCAAATAAATAAATAAGTGGAGGAAGGAAACTCAGAATATTTATTTAGCCTCTTATTATTTCCAGAATATAAAAAAGAAAGCCAGAAAGAAAAGGGAGGGGAGATTTCCTTGCCCTTGTTCTTCTACGCCGTTCCCATGCTAAGATGCTCTGTGGAAGGGAGCCGGGCGGTGGGCAGCGGCTGTGAGTCCCCGATAACGAGCGCCTCACATTTCCGTGGCATTCCCATTTGCTAGTGCGCTGCTGTGGCCGCACGCCTGATTGATATATGCCTCCAATGGCACTTTTCCATTTGACATTCTCTCTCTCTCTCTCCCTCTCTCTCTCTCCCTCTCCCTCTCCCGCTCTCTCTCTCCCTGTGTCGCTTAAACAACAGTCCTAACTTTTGTGTGTTGCAAATATAAAAGGCAAGCCATGTGACAGAGGGACAGAAGAACAAAAGCATTTGGAAGTAACAGGACCTCTTTCTAGCTCTCAGAAAAGTCTGAGAAGAAAGGAGCCCTCCTTTCTCCCAAGGTAAGCAGGAAAACAAGCGCTGACGGCTCGCCTAGGAAATTACTTCTTTCCAAACCGAGCATTTCAACCTCCTCGCAGACAAAGAGACAACCTTTAAATACCACTTAAATTTGCATTACTTTAATTTGCATTAATCTGTAGCCTGCTAGCATTGTGTTTTTTAAATGAACGGGGCTTTGAAGTCTGCGACAGAGCAGGGAGCCTCCCAGAGAAGCTGGAAAATATCTTTTGGTTCGACTTACAGAGATTTTCTTTGCAAACTCTCTGCGTAGTTAGACGTAACTTTGTAATGGTTCGTATATCTGACCCTGTGAAAGGGGCCAGCGCAGCAGCAACTCGCCGACATGGATTCACGGAGCCCGGTGTCTTCCCCACCGCCCTCATCCCACTTACAATGGGGGCACTATGAACGCAGGCGAGCCTGCGAGGTTAAAAGCGCACTGTTTACTTTTATTACTACTTATGTATGCTGCTGATCTCCTGCCAGGGCTCTGCCGGGGCGCTCAGAATGACTTCAAACAATAGGCAACATTTATTTCTAGCTTTCGGTGTCAGGCTTTGCAGGAATCCGGCTCCTTATCCCAACGCGCGGCACTTCGCTTCCATAGATGCGTTCGGGTAGCACGGGGTTGGGGGGGGGGGGGGATGAGGATGGGTTTACTGTATGATTTTGATTGGGTAAAAAGTCCGAGGAAATGCATGCTGTTTGCCTTGGCCTTATTGCAAGGGTTTATTTTTAGTAGTCAGCTTGTCCCTGCAGCTCGACCAAAAAACTCCAATGGCCCAGGAGTGCTGGAGAAAGGATGCTCCTACCAGCCCAGGGGACCAGGACCTGTAGGAAGGACTCCTACAGACACCTGAGGAATATTTGGAGGCTTCTTTCAACCTCCTGAATACTAGTTCTCTCTTTAAATGAACAATTGAGCTGTAGGAGGCCTGGGCAGGACTCTTTCTTGGGGAACGGGAAGTTTGATTGTGTCCAGAATGTTAATGACTTGGAACTTGCAGTGACTGGGGCTCATTGTAAAGGACAAGCCCCGAAAAGCTTCCAGGAAAGAGGCAGACTCTCCTCTCTACTGTGATTCAGGTGCGGGGAAAGAAACTGTTTGGCAAGATGGGAGTGCCACGTGCAGTTCTTTGTAACTGTCATTAATAACAGCTATGGCTGCTGCAAAGCAAGTCTCTCTTCATTTCTAATATTAGTGCATTTTAATTATAAGGCTCTGGCCTTGGCAAATTGCTCCAACACATAACATTGAATACCAGGTGCATTTGAAAGCACAGACGTTGTCTAAAATGCAGTGCAGGCTGAGAGTGTCCGCCAAAGACAGTGGGGACCCTAGAATGCTTCTCAATGGAGCCTTTAGAGCAGACGGAAATACCTGCTGGGTGTCTCCTCACCAGTCTTGCTTCTGAAAGTAAACTTCAGAGTCCTATCGCTGCCCAGTTTTCACTGTGGAGTGCGGACAAGGTTTACGAGAGACTTTTCTGATTTTGCCCTGATAGCTAGCCTAACGAGGAGCATTGCTGAAAGCGACTCTGACTTTGGCAATGAGTTAATTTACAACTTTGGGAAAGTCCCTATTCCAGAAAGCCTGTGAAGGATACTATGCATTCTCTTGCAATACAATTTTACAGGGATTTGTTTTGTTTTGTTTTGTTTTTTTAAAAAATTACCGCTGTTAGCAAAGTGTTCGCCGACTGCGAACAATTTTCTTAAACTCCCATTCAGATCATTACGTGAGGGTGTTTGAGCGCAAAATGCAGAGTTTTGCATCGTTTGTTTTAATATACATTTGGTTGGGGAGAACTGGTTGAGACCTTCTCAGGACTGTGCGTAAGCAGCTGACACCCACAGATGGAAACGTGCCTGTGGAGTTTTCAATCTTAATTCTAGTTCCAGTGACACTGGCAAGGGAAAAATAAATCATTTTTCAATACATTTAACAATTTCCAACTCATTTATTTTCCCGAGCCCCTGAAAAATGCGGTGAGTTTCTCAGGGTTACAGCCACCAGTGGTGGCCAGCAATTTCTACTCTATTTGAGGAACTCACAATTCAAGTACTTTTATTCTTACTGGTTAATTATTCATTCCATCATTCTTTTAATAAATATTTATGAAGCATTTTCTATATGCCAGCACTATGCTACTCTTGATGGATGCAAAGGCGAAGGAAACCTTGTCCCACACCCTAATTCTCCCTCTGAATGCAATCTCCAGTTCGATTTTGGAACTGAAATGGGCTTTGCCAGTGGGGAAACTAGGCAATGATGCTCTGGTTATATAGAACCATTTAAAATAGCTGCTAGAGCCTAGATTGCTTTGAAATGACTCTTACTTATCAATGGGTTCCTTTATCACCTGCTCCTGGGTAGAGCTCACTTGCGCAGCTAACCTGGCCGGGATCTTTCCAGTCTGGAGGAGAAGAAGCCTGGAGAAAGAGTAGTTGAAGCCTTCCCTCTGCTCTCCTGAGCACCCTTTGGAAAGGATCACGTGCTGTGTCTCTCCGGGACGGGTGTGAGTCACCTATTCAGCAGCTGACACCAGGCCACTGGATGAGTCATTGAATTAGAAACATGCATGCAGGAAGATGCAGTCACTGTCTTCCACCACCTACTTGTCCCACCCCCAGGACTGACGAAACTCATAACCTCTGAGCTTGGCCTAAATTCAAGAGGCCCCTGGGAAGATGCTGCCAGAAATTGTTCCCCAAACTCAGGTCTCTGGCAGAGCCACACTCAGTGCTGCTTGCAAATGGCCCGGTCGTGTTTGATCAGGTGGTTAGGTTACTGGGAAAAACCCTGAAGACAGCATCACCAGGGACCTTGACTTGGTTCCCTTATCAGCAAATCATCCCCCAGGGTTGGATTGAAATGCCTCTAACTCCCCAGGGTGCCTGACTCACCCTATGCAGCCCTCAGCTTCTTGGCTAGTGGCCTTGACGCCACGCCCCTCCTCACCTCTTCCCATGACAGCCAGTCAATGCCACTCTGTCCAGGGCAGCAGGAGCAGAGGAGATGGGGAGGCAGGTGGAAAGACGGAGAAGTGCTAAGGCCCAAGGGGGAAGCTGTGGCCTGTCCTGGCTGTGATCAGCTGTCATTTCCTCTTCGTGTATGACACTGTGGAACATATTAAAATTTCTCTGGGATGGTATGTTTGGAATTCCTCTGATGCCCCACCTCACCAACTTACCCAGACAATAAAAGCAAGGTTGTAAGCCTTTGAACAGCTGGCCGGCTATATATTTCCCCTCTTTCTTTCGCATAATCTAATTCAGAAAAGAATCCAGCTAGACTGGCAGTGCCATGTCTGGGTACTTGTTTCCTGCAAGTCCTTCCTCCGCCACCTCCTCCAGCCCGCCCTGGAATCTTCCTGGGTGGCATGTGGCTTTTCTTTTCTTTTTGCTCTCCACTGCGCACAGCCCGCCCCCTTTTCTTCGCTCTGCCTGAGCTCCTTCTATTGTGAGCTCCTCTTTGCTCTGCCTGTTTTCCACTCAGCCTGGGGTCCTGTGCTATCCAGGGAGAACAGCCCATGAGGTCTCCCCATCTCCATAGTATTCCCAGGATGTCATTCTTGGCACCAGCTTTCCCTGGGCTGATAGGATCGGGGGGCTTTTTGTAGCCCCGAGCCTGAACCCACTTGCGGAGAGGAGCAGCCACGTGGCCCGCCGAGAGCAGGGCTGGAGTGACCCGGGTTGGCAACGACAAGCATACCATCACAGTGACCCGGACATCTCCGGCAAAGGCCTGGGGGTGGGAGTGCTATGGGAATGGCTGGATGCACTTCGGCCTACATTAAAAGAAATGTGGTCATTCTCTGTTTCAAGACAAGGGACTTGAACAAAGCTCCCTGGATCCTTGGGTCCAGCCCTGCCCCCTTTCCTCATCCTTTTCTCATCCCTCCTCCCCAACAGAAAGAAGGAGAGACAGGACTTTTCATTGAGTCAGCACAGGCCTGAATGTCTATGAAACCCATTTGGTGAACAGGGACAAGGGGATTCTGGGTTGACCTGAACTAAAATTGCACAGGACTTGGGAGATAGAAGACATCTCTTCCCCTCCATCCCTTCCTCCTTTCTTTCCTCCTCTTTTTCTACCCTCCCTCCCTCCCTTATCTCCCTCCCTCCCTCCTTTCTCTTTTCTTTTTCTCTTAACAACAGAACAACGGTTTGGTTGATGAGTTGCAAATTGAATAAACCAGATCATTGAGCTTCAGATTTCTAAGAAGTCTCTTGTAACCATCCCGGTATAGCATCCTTAAAAGATTCTGCTAATGTCCTTGGGACCAAAAGGTATTTAAGAACTATCTACAAGGTGGCTTTCTATTCCTTTGCTTTTCCTGCAGGCTTTGCTTGTCTTTTCCGGATGAGCTAAAGTCATTAGAAGACCCAAAAGGAAAAATTCAACACAGCTGATTTAAAATGGGCCTTTTCCTGTTAGCTTGACAAGACAGAAGGGGAAGAGAGAGAGAGAGAGAGAGAGAGAGAAGAAAGAGAAGAAAGAATCAACTGCTCTCCACTTCCACTTCTTGGGTTTTAATATGAATTATTCCATACAAGTCCCTAGGCTACAGGATCTATTTAAAGACAGCTGGCAGCATGAAGGGAGAGGGTAAAAATACAACCACTCTTTTGTCCATCAAAGGTTTTCTTTGGGAGGACATTAAGAGCATTCCTGCTTTCCTGTCTGCCCCTGCCAGTGGCAGCTTTCCAGCAGATAGTACCCACTCCTCAGCCATCAGGTCAGCAACCACCAACTTCTGTGTCTGATTCCAGGAGGAAATAAAGGCTGAGCAAGGAGTCCTTTCAATGCCCCAAGTGCATGCAGCCGGGCAGGGGAAGCTGGTACTGAGATGAGCGCTTGCTTGACTGTGCAGGTTGCATGCTGCAAACTCACACACCCACACGCTGGAATTTTTCAGGCGATTGTTCCGATGGCATTATTTCTGATGCCAGCCTCCCTCACATCTGCAAAACTTCTTTCTTGTGTCTTTGGCAA